AGGAAGGACTTATGTTGCTGAAGTTCCTCGGCATGAATTTATACCGGAAATTATCAAACGAGCAGATACGTAACAGTATGCTAATTTGATGCTTATATAAAAACAGAGAATATAGCATTAATGTAATATTTATAAAGTCATGTAGCAGAGGAATGAGTAACTAAGAAATAAAAGTTAGGTTTGTAAGTTTGGCAGTTAAGTAGCAAAAAATACTCTTTCTCATACCATTTAGGTACATTTTTCTAATACCTTTTCTCCAGTGCTTGTTATTCCAGCAACAAACGTTACCTGAGCAGCTAGCAGACAAACAGCTAAACACTTATGGATTTTTACTCGCACTGTCTGGAGAGTACTAATTGAAAATAATTACAAAGCTATGTAAATAACAAAATTATGAAGCAAGCAAGCTAAAACAGATATTTAAAAATAATAAATAAAATTTCATAAAAAATTGCATTTCTTAATAAAACAAATGTCAACAAATGAGAAATAGATCACTGGCAAACAAACATTGTAGTGTTTATAACTACTTGGTTAATCAATTGTTACGGTGAGAACACTTTTCTAAGCTATCAAAGCAACATTATACATACTTATTTTTGTCATGAGGTATTAATATTAGGCCTATTATATTTTTAAACAAGTCTTTAATTTTCATATTAATATAAAGAATATTGTATTAGAAATATATTTGGCCTAATATTTATGTCTTATGACAAGTGTAAGTAACTACTTGGTTAAACAATCTGATTTCTTTAAATTTTTAGTTCATTATAAAAGGTCTACACATGCATTTTAAGCCAGTATTATTGCAATAAAATTGTCCAGTTGATTGCTCAATACAAATAAAACTATTTTAGCAATATAACTTACCGAAGATACAGAAGAATAATTAACATGAGAAGTAATGATGTAATCGACAAAGCTAATCCCAAGTAGCTAACATATTTCAATGCAGTATAATGTTCCACAACAGGCTGAAATAAAGATATTAAAAACACTAACAAGTATTCAACATTGTACCATGAAAGTACACAGAAAGCCAAAGTAAACATGTTTATAACAATCATAATGATTGTCCCAGTGATTATAGACCAATTAGTGTTACAACAGTTGTGTGAAAAATTTTGGAAAGTCAGTTAACAAAATTTTGAATTTTATTGGATAGTCAACATAGTTTCACTAAGGGAAAATCTTTCCTTACAAATCTTTTAACATTCTTTGAAAAGGTTACTGCTTATGTAGATGAGGGTAAGTGTATAGATTTGGTGTATCTGAATTTTCAGAAAACATAAGACAAGGTGCCACATAAAAGGCTTGTAAAAAAATTAGCT